GGACGGACACACGGACGGACACGAGAGCCCCGAACCCGACGGGACCGGAGCCGCCCCAAGGGATCCATCCCGGAGAGCCCGGACCGGAATTTCCCCGGGAACCCGAACCGAACCTTCCCGGTTCTCCCGGGCAACCCGGACCGACCCATCCCGGTGAACCCGACCCATCCCGGAGAGCCCAAACCGAAACTTCCCGGAGAGCCTGAACGGAACTTTCCAGAGAAACCGAACCGAACCTCCCCCGGTGGCCCCGAGGAACCCGAACCGACCCATCCCGGAGAGCCTGAACCGAAACTTCCAGAGAAACCGAACCGAACCTTCCGGAGAGCCTGAACCGAAACTTCCCGGTGCCTCCGGGGAACCTGAACCGAACCTTCCGGAGAACCCGAACCGACCCATCCCGGTGAACCCGACCCATCCCGGTGAACCCGACCCATCCCGGTGAACCCGAACCGAACCTTCCAGAGAACCCGAACCGAAACTTCGCGGGGAACCCGAACCGGCCCATCCCGAGGTCCGGAGCGGCACCGGCTCCAACCCAGAGACCCCGAGCCCGCCGTCCCCCCGGCGCTCCCGGTGCTCCCCGCGCTCCCGCCGCCCCGGGAGCCGCTGCCCCGCCGCGATGGCGGCACCGGCGCTGCTGGCGCTGGCCCTGGGCGCTCTGGGTGTGCTGGCAGGTGAGGGGACACCGCGGGTGGCACCGGCCTGGGAGGGTCCCCGTTTGTCGCCGTTTGTCGCCGTTTGTCGCCGTTTGTCGCGACAACGCCGCGCGCGCTCGTTGTCGCGACAAACCCCCCGCCCCGCCCGCCTCGGGGAATTTCGTTCGATTCTTGCGAAATCCGTAAAAATCCAGCGGGGAATTTTCTTCCCCCGTCCCTCCCGCCCTCCCTTCCCGAGCCCGTTCCGGGAAAGGGAGGGACGGTTCTGCTCGGGGGGGCCGGAAAATCGCGGCCCCCGCCGGGGAATCCCCCCGGGCCCGGGCGGATTTTGGGGTTTTTTTGTGCATTTTTGGGGCTTCACCCGAAATTTGGGGGGGTTTTCTGCATTTTTAGGGGTTTCTTCTGAAATTTTTGGGGGTTTCCGCCACGTTTCGGGGCTTTCACCCAAAATTTTGGGGGCTTCTTGCTCAATTTTGGGGGGGTTCCATCCGCATTTTTGGGGGCTTCCTCTGCGCTTTTGGAGACTCCCTCTGCGATTTTCGCGGCTTTCCTCCTCAATTTTGGGGCTCTCGCCCGAATTTTGGGGGCTTCTTCCGCATTTCTGGGGGCTTCTTCCTCAACTTTGGGGCTTCCTCTACATTTTTGGGGGGTTTCCTCCTCATTTTTAGGGGGTTTCCTCTGCATTTTTGGGGGCCTCCCGCGCTATTTTGTGGCTTCCCCGCACTTTTGGGGGCTTCTTCCGCATTTCTGGGGGTTTCCTCCTCAATTTTGAGGGCTTCCTCTGCACTTTTGGGGGTTTCCTCTGCATTTTTAGGGGCTCCCTCCGCATTTCTGGAGGTTTCTTCCGCATTTTTGGGGGTTTCCACCGCAATTTTGGGGCTTCCTCCGCACTTTCGGGGGATTCCTTCGTATTTTTGGGGCTTCCTCTGCACTTTTGGGGGATTCCTCAACACTTTGGGGTTTTTTTTCTCCCCTTTCTCTGCACTTTGGAGTCGTCTCAGTCACCCTGGAGGGTTTCCTCATTTTCCCCATTTCCCCCATTGTTTTCCGGTCGATTTTCCCCATTATTTTCCCACTGTTTTCCCCCACTTTTCCTGTTGATTTTCCGCATTTTCCCCTGCTATTTTCCTGTTGATTTCCCCCATTCTTTTCCTTGTATTTCCCCCATTTTTCCCCATTCCCCCCCATTATTTCCCTGTTGATTTCCCCCATTTCTCCCCATTAATTTCCCATTGATTCCCCACATTATTTTCCTGTTGATTTCCCCCATTATTTTCCTGTTGATTCCCCCATTTCCCCCCATTATTTTCCTGTTGATTTCCCCCATTATTTTCCTGTTGATTCCCCCATTTCCCCCCATTATTTTCCTATTGATTCCCCCCATTATTTTCCTGTTGATTCCCCCCATTATTTTCCTGTTGATTCCCCCCATTATTTTCCTGTTGATTCCCCCCATTATTTTCCTGTTGATTCCCCCCATTTCCCCCCCATTGTTTTCCTGCCGTTTCCCCCCGTTATTTTCCCCCCACGCCTCACCCCGGTGTCCCCTCCCCTGTTCCAGCGCCCCCCGAGGGTCCCCTCGTGTCCCTGTCGGCCTCGGACGCGGTGGTGGGGACGCCGTTCGAGGTCACCTGCACCATCAGGACACCGATCCCCGCCACCAACGTCACCATCACCGCCGACGACCGCGCCTGGCCGGCGACGCTGAGCCGGGACGGCCGCCGGGCCACCGCCGAGGTCACCGTCACCGACAAGGGCAGCGTCCGGCTGGGCTGCGCCGTCCGCGCGGGCAGCGGGACGCTCCAGACCAACGCCACCGTCCGGGTCTCCTGTGAGTGGCCGCGGTGACGGCACGGTGCCGCCGAACCCGAGCGCCACCAAGCATCGTGAGAGAAACTCCCCGATTGCCGTTACCGTTCCGTGATAACGATGCTGTCGCCCACAGATGTCCCCGTGCCGCTGCTGAATGTCACCGACACCGCCAAGGCTGGCACGGAGCTGAGGGGACGATGCTCGCTGCCACCCGGGGCCGTCAGTGACATCCGGGTGAAGGTGGTGGCCACCGGCCACGGTGTCCTGGTGGATTTTAAAAAGCCCCCGGCGGCCTTCAGCCTGATGGTGCGAGAGGAGGATGCAGAGGGGCGGCTGGTGGTGACCTGTGAGGCCAATATGCGCCAGGACTCGAGGAACAAATCCCAGCTGATCCGTGTGCTGGGTGAGAGCGCGGCCACTGTGTTCCCGGCCCCCGTGCCACATTTTCCTGGTCCCCATCCCTCCTCTTCCTGGTCCCCATCCCGCCTTTTCCTGATCCTTATCCCGCCTTTTCCTGATCCTTATCCCGGCTTTTCCTGATCCTTATCCCGCCTTTTCCTGATCCTTATCCCGCCTTTTCCTGATCCTTATCCCGGCTTTTCCCGCAGTCAAACCTCGGCTGGACCTGGAGCTCTGCCCCCCGCAGCAGAACTGGACGGAGGGGCAGGACGGGATCCTGAACTGCAGCGCCAAGGGCGCACCTGAGCCGCAGGTGAGCTGTTCCAAGGATGGGAATTTCCTCACCCCTGGAATATCCCATCCCATCAACCGCGCCCACGCCGGGACCTACCTGTGCCGGGCCACCAACGCTCTGGGGACGGCCGAGCGCAACGTCACCGTCTGGGTGCAGCGTGAGTCGGGGGGCCCGGGGCTCTGGGGGGTCTTTGGGGTTTTTGGGCTCCTGGGAGTTTTTGGGCTTCTGGAGATCTTGGGTCTTCTGGGGCTCTTTGGGTTTTTTGGGCTTCTGGGGCCTTCGGGGTTTTTGGGCTCGTGGTGGTTCTGGGGGTTCTTTGGGATATTGGGGGTCCTGGGTGGTCTTGGGGGTCTTTGGGGTTCTGGGGGCCTTGGAGGTGTTTGGGGTTTTGGGGGTTTTGGGGGTTCTGGGGGCCATGGGTGTCTCAGGCTCCGGAGATCTTGGAGGCCTTTGGGGTTTTTGGGCTCCTGGTGGTCCCGGGGCGCAGCAGCCCCCTCCCCACTGACCCCGGCCCCATTTCCCCCCAGATGTCGACTCAATCCCGCTGCTCCCGGTGCTCCTGGGCGCGCTGCTGCCGGTGGCCGCCGTCGTCATCCTGAGCCTGGCCGCGGGCTACCTCCTCTACCGCCAGGGCAAGATCGGCGAGTACCGGCTCTGGAAGCGGCACCCGCGGCCGGACGCGCAGCCCCTGCGGCCCCAGGGCGGCTCCGCGGCCGCTCCCAACGGATCCGCGGCCCCGTAGGGCGGGGAGAGCCCGTGGAGGGGCCGGGAGCCCCTGCCCGTCCCTCCGCCGCGGCCACCGAGGGGACGGCGACAGCGGGGACCGGCCGGGACCGGCGCGGGGGACGCGGCTCCCAGGCTGGGATGGACTGGGATGGACTGGGATGCACTGGGATGCACTGGGATGGACTGGGATGCGCTGGGATGCACTGGGATGGACTGGGATGCACTGGGATGCACTGGGATGCACCGGGATGCACTGGGATGCGCTGGGATGGACTGGGATGCGCTGGGATGGACAGATCCAGCCGGGCCCCGGTGTGGATCGCCGAGTTTCGCTCCAGATTTTATCCCTCGAGTGTTTTTTGGGGTGGATTTGGTGATTTTGGAGGCCTTGGAGCTCCCCGGGCGGAGCATCCTGGGTTGAGCCGCGGGGATTTCGGAGCTGGCGGGAGGACAAGGAGCAGGAGGGAGGGGACAGAGAGGCGACAGTGACACGTACCACCAATAAACGCTGCAGGTGGCATCCACTGGGGCCGGGAATCCGCAGTTCCGGGGGCTTCGCTGGGAGGGGGCGGCCGGGCCATTGTCCCACCCGGTGGGGACATCGCCGCCGTCCCGGTGTCCCCAGCCCCCACTCCAGGCGCTCCCGTCTGTCGCTGTCGCTTCGCCCACGCGCGTCCCGGGGCCGCCCACGCGGGGAGGGCTCAGGGGGCGTTCGGGGAGGGGCTTTTTTGGGGGGGGGCGCGTTCGTGAAGCGCCGAGCACCGGGCGGGGGCGGGGGGGGCTGGGGGGGGGGGTCGGCGTGGGCGGGGGGAGGAGCAGCCCCGCGGGACCGGCGGCGCGCGCGGCAGCGGAGGAGCTGCCTTCGGCCTCAGCCGCCTCTTCCTCCTCTCCCCCATCCTCCTCTTCCTCTTCTCCCTTCCCCGTCCTCCTCCGCTTCATCCCCATCCTCCTCTTCCTCTCCACCCCCCGCGCTCGCCGTCGCCTCCGTCCTCCTCCGCTTCATCCCCCTCCCCATCCTCATCCTCCTCTTCCTCCCCCTCCTCACCGTCTCCATCTCCCTCCTCATCCTCCCCTTCTCTCCTCCCTCCTCGCCGTCTCCATCCTCCTCCTCCCCATCCTCCTCGCCCCCATCCTCCTCCTCCTCCTCTTCCTCCCACCCTCCTCCTCCTCCTCTCCCGATGGGCCCCCCCGGCCCGGCCACGCGGCTCTTGCCCCCCCTCGTTCTGGCGCTCGCAGGTAAAGGGGGGAGGGGCTTGAGGGTTTTTTTGGGGGGGCGGGAGGACCCTCCAGAAGGGGGAGGGGGCGTCTCTGAGGATCCCAAAAACCAGCGACCATTAAAGGAGGGGGGGGAAGGGGCGGAGAGCCCGAAATCAGCAGCGACTTTTATTGGGGGGGGGGGCACGCCACCCTGGGGACCCCCGGAGACCCCCCCCAAAATACCAGAGGCCTTTTAGTGTTGGGAAGGTGCACACAGGGACCCCCAACCCAATAGTGGGGACCCTTAAAACCGGGGGGGGGGTCACGGGGAGGGACCCTCAGGACCCCAAAATCAGAGTGACCTTTAGGACTGGGGGGGCTGGGGACGCACGGGGACACCCCCAGGACCTGGCAATTGGGGGGGGGGTCTCAGTCCAGGTTCACCGGGGTCTCCCCCATCCGTACCCGGGGGCACTGCCCGTGCTGGGGGTCTCGCAGGGGTCGCCCGGGGCACCTTCACGGTGGCGGCGTGGCCGCGGGTGGCCGTGGTGGCCTTCGGGGGCTCGGTGACCGTCAACTGCAGCCGCGGCGCCTGCCCGGAGGGGGACGCCAACGCCACGCTGGGGCTGGAGACCGCCCTGCCCGCGACCCCCGGGCCCGGGGGGCTCCGCTGGCAAAGCTTCCGCCTCCACAACGTGTCCCGGTGGAGCCCCGGCCCCGTCACCTGCTCCGGCCGCTGCGGCGACGCCGAGGCCAACGCCAGCGCCGGCGTCCTCGTCTACCGTGAGTGCCTTGGGGACGCCGAGGGGACGCCCAGGGGACGCCGCGGTGGCACCGGCTTCGTCCCGTTCCCCAGAGCTGCCGGAGCGGGTGGAGCTGGAGCCGGTGCCGGCGGCGGCCGTGGGGGACAGCCGGAACCTGACGTGCCGCGTGCGGGCGGTGGCCCCGCTGCGGAACCTGACGGTGACGCTGCGGCGCGGCGCCGAAACGCTGCGCACCGAGGGCTTCGCCGAGGGCGCCGAGGGCAGCGCCAGCGTGGCCGTGAGCCACGCGCTGACCGTCACCCGCGGCGACCACGGCCAGGACGTCACCTGCCACGCCGAGCTGTCGCTGCGGCCGCACGGGCCCCTGTTCGCCCGCGCCGCGGCGCCCGTCACGCTCTCGGTGTTCGGTGAGCGGCGGCCTCGCGGTGGCCTTGGCACCGTCGCGGTGGCCTCGGTGTCACCCTCCCCGTGTCTGACTTCGGGGATGTGTCCCAGTCCTGGTGACACCGTGTTCGCCCCCGTGTCCTTGTCCCCATTGCGGTGATCTCGGTGTCACCCTCCCGGTCATCGGGATCCTGTTCCCGGCTTTGGGGATGTGGCCCGGTGACCCCGTGTCCTTCCTGGTGTCCTGGTCCCCATCGCGGTGGCCTCGGTGTCACCCTCCCTGTGTCTGACTTTGGGGACGTGTCCCAGTCCTGGTGACACCGTGTCCCCCCCGTGTCCTTGTCCCCAGTGCAGTGGCCTCAGTGTCACCCTCCCGGTCACTGGTTTTGGGGACATGTCCTGGTCTTGGTGATACCGTGTCCCTCCTGTGTCCTTGTCCCCATCGCGGTCACCTCGGTGTCACCATCCCGGTCATCGGGACCCTGTCCCTGGCTCTGGGGACGTGTGCCGGTCCCGGTGACCCCGTGTCCCCCCAGCATGGCCCCCCGTCCTTGTCCCCATCGCGGTGACCTCCCGGTCATTGGGACCCTGTCCCTGGCTCTGGGGACGTGTGCCGGTCCCGGTGACCCCGTGTCCCCCCCGGTGTCCCCGCAGCTCTCCCGGAGCCCCCCCAGCTCCAGGCCCCCGCCATCCTCGAGGCCGGCACCGTGGCCAACGCCAGCTGCCGCATCACCGGCGCCTTCCCGGCCGGGGACATCCGTGTCACCGCCGCGCTGGACCAGGAGCCGCTGAACGTCACGGTGGCGGTGGCCGGGGACACGGTGACGGCCAGCACGGCGCTGTCCCCGCTCATCCCGGGCCCGCGGGAGCTCAGCTGCACGGCCGCGGTGGCCACGGCGGCGCGGACGGCGCGGAGGCAGCTCCGCGTTTACCGTAAGGCACCGGTGGGGAGGGGGCGGCGGGGGCACCGCGGGACCCCCGGGATCGCCCCGGATCCACCGGTGGGACCTTCCCGCAGGATTCCCCGCGCCCGCCCTGGAGCTGAGCCCGGCCCCGGCGGCGGCGGGCAGCGAGGTGACCGTGTCGTGCCGCGCCGGGGCCACCGAGCCGCCCGAGGCGCGGCTGCAGCTCCGCGATGCGGACGGCGGGGTCCTGGCCGAGGGCCCCCAGCCCCGGCTGCAGCTCCGGTTGCTGGCCCGGCGCGACGACGACGGCCGCGAATTCCGGTGCCGGGCCAGCCTGGCGGTGGGCGACAGCGTGGTGACAAAGGACGCGGACGCGCGGCTGGCGGTGCTCTGTGAGTGTCGCGCCAGCCCGACCGCGCCCGCCCCTCCCGGCATTGCCCAAATCCCTTTTTTCCTCCCCAGATCTTCCCGAAATCCCGGCCGGCGGCTGCCCCGGTAACCGCACGTGGGTGCGGGGAGCGCGGGAAGCGCTGTCGTGCCGCGCCGCCGGCAACCCCGCGCCCACCGTGGTGTGCGGCCGCGACGGCGTCGCCGTGGCCACCGGCGAGCCCGAGCCGGTGACCCGGGCCCGAGCGGGCACCTACGTGTGCAACGCCACCAACGCGCTGGGGACGCGCAGCCGCCGCGTCACGGTCCGCGTGGAGTGTGAGTGGCACCGGGGTCGGGGTCAGGGGTCCCCTCGGCGGCCGCCGCGGTGACCGGGTGGCCTCTGTGTGTGTGTCCCCTACTCAAGATGAGCCCACCATGTCCGAGTCGGGGTGTCCGGCACGCCGGGTCTGGGTGGAGGGACAGCGGCGGGAGCTGGAGTGTCGCGCCGATGGGGACCCGCCGCCCAGCACGCGCTGTGCCCGCGACGGTGGCACTCGAGATGGTGGCACTCGAGATGGTGGCATTCACCACGGTGGCACCCGTGACGGTGGCAGCCACCACGGAGGAGTCGCCCGCGGCCGCGTGGTCACCCGGGCTGATGGCGGCCGCTACGTGTGCAGGGCCACCAACAGGCACGGGGTGGCCGTGAGGAGCGTCCTTGTCACCGTGGAGTGTGAGTGCGACACCGGCGAGGGGACACCGGCGAGGGGAGGGGACACCAGGGCGTGGCGGGGACTGGGGTGGGACGGGATTTGGGGGGACAGGGGTGGGACAGGGGTGGGACAGGGGTCTGGGGGGGACAGGAGTCTGGGGGGACAAGGATGTCACATCCATGCCCGGAATTCCAGAGCCGTGCTGGGAAGGATGGGATGGGGATGAGGATGAGGATGGGATGAGGATGGGGATGGGGATGGGGATGAGATGAGGATGAGGATGAGATGAGGATGGGGATGGGGATGGGGATGAAGATGAGGATGAGATGAGGATGAGGATGGGGATGAGCATGAGCATGAGGATGAGATGAGGATGAGATGAGGATGAGGATGAGATGAGGATGGGGATGGGGATGAAGATGAGGATGAGATGAGGATGAGGATGGGGATGAGATGAGGATGAGATGAGGATGAGATGAGGATGAGGATGAGATGAGGATGGGGATGGGGATGAAGATGAGGATGAGATGAGGATGAGGATGAGGATGAGATGAGGATGAGATGAGGATGAGATGAGGATGAGGATGAGATGAGGATGGGGATGGGGATGGGGATGAAGATGAGGATGAGATGAGGATGGGGATGAGATGAGGATGGGGATGGGGATGGGGATGAAGATGAGGATGGGATGAGAATGAGGATGAGATGAGGATGAGATGAGGATGGGGATGAGGACGAAGCCAAGCCCGGCTGTGCTCGGACCGGTCCCGGCGGTGCCGGGGGCTCTCAGTGGATCCCGGGAGGGTCGGGGCGGCCTCACGGGGGTCCCCCGGCCCCATCCCCGCCGCCTCTCCCCGGTTTTCCAGACCGGCCGAGCCTCGGCGAGCGCGGCTGCCCCGAGCGGCGGCGGTGGCTGGAGGGGACCCCGGCCGAGCTGGGCTGCGCCGCCACCGGGAACCCCCCGCCCCGCGTCAGCTGCGCCAAGCTGGCCGAGCCCGGCAACGCCACCGAGCCGGGCCGCGACAGCCGGGACCCGGCCGGGGCCACCGCCAACGTCACCCGCGCCCACGCGGGCACGTACCAGTGCCGGGCCACCAACGCGCACGGCTCCGCCGTCCGCAACGTCTCCGTGGCCGTGGAGTGTGAGTGCGGGGGGCGATTCTGGGGGAGAACCCCGGGGATTCGGGGCAGCCTCGGCACCGGCCGCCGTTCCCTTTGGCGCAGACGGCCCCGCCGGCGTCACCGTGCGCGTCCTGCCCTCCGCCAACGTCACCCGCGGCAGCGGCTTCACCGTGGACTGCGGCGCCGAGGGGGTCCCGGCGCCCACCTACACCTGGGTGCTGCCCCCCGCCCCAAACCTGCGCTGGGCCGCCGACAACCGCTCGGTCACGGTCACCGGCGCCACCACGGCCAACCGGGGGCTCTACACCTGCACGGCGAGCAACCGGCACGGCCGGAGAGCCGGGAGCGTCGTGGTGCGGGTGGACGGTGAGCGGGCACGGGGGGAACGCGGTGTGACCGACCCCGCTCCGGTGTTACCGGCGGTTCCCCGGTGCTACCGGCTGTTCCCCGGTATTACCGGTGGTTCCCCGGTGTTACCGACCCCGCTCCGGTGTTACCGATCCTGCTCCGGTGTTACCGGTGGTTCCCCAGTGTTACCGACCCCGCTCCGGTGTTACTGATCCCACCCGGTGTTACCGATCCCGCCCCGGTGTTACCGATCCCGCCCCGGTTTTACCGACCCCGCTCCAGTGTTACCGACCCTGCCCCGGTGTTACCGGCGGTTCCCCGGTGTTACCGATCCCGTTCCCCGGTGTTACCGGCGGTTCCCCGGTGTTACCGGCGGCTCCCCGGTGCTACCGGCGCCTCCCGCCCCGCAGAGAGCTGGCTGGCGCTGCTGGCGGCGCTGGGCGCGCTGGGCGCGGTGGCGGCGCTGGGGCTGGCCGCGGCCGGCGGGTGGTACCTCAAGAGCACGGCGTGCAAGAAGGGCGAGTACAACGTGCGCGACGCCGAGGGCTCCTCCGAGGCCGCCTGCCTGCACCGGCACCGGGACCCCCGCGCCGAGGTGTTCGGCATCCAGCTGAGCCCGCCGTGAGCGGCACCGGCGCCGGGACCGGCCGGCCGGGAGCCCCAGGGCCGGGATTTGGGGTGGGTTGGGGGGGGTTTGGCACCGGAACGGCCGCGGGGAGGGTTTGGCATCCAGGACCAGGACCGGGAGCGGGACCGGAACCGGGACCACCCCCGTGGGGTTTGGGGACCCCAAAAGACCCCCCCAGCCCCACCCCAGGGGTTTTTGGGGGGATTCTGGGAGGGTGAGGATGGTAAGGATTCCTCTGGATGGCACCGGCACGACCACGGGGAGGGTTCGGCATCCGGGACCATCCCCATCCTCATCTTCATCCCCGTCCCCGTGGGGTTTGGGGACCCCCAAAGACCCTCCCCGCCCCACCCCAGCGGTTTTTGGGGGGATTTTGGGGGTTACAACACCCAGGACCGAGCGTTCCCCCGAGGGTTCCTCCTTGCCCACCCCGGCCCGGTGGGGAGGGGGTTTGGGGGTCCCCACAGAGCCCCCGAGGGGATTTCGGGGCGATTTGAGGGGTTTGGGAGCCGCGCCGAGCGTGGCACAGGCACCACTCAGGGATGGGCCGCACCCAATAAACGATCGATAACCGATCGATAACCGACCAATAAATTATCAATGAGCGATCCCGTGCTCACGGGGGGCGCCGCCCGCTGTCCCCCACGGGACCCCCGTCCTCATCCCAAACCCCTCCAAAGCAGCACCCAAACGAGCCCAATTAGCAATTAATGAATGAATTAATTAATGAGCCAACGCTCGCTATCCCAAATCCAGAACCCCGGGAATATTTTTTTGGGGGGGTCCCCTTGGAACGGACCCTCCCCTCCTTTGGGGGCGGTTTGGGGGACCCTAAATGTGAGGGTGGCTTTGGATGAGGGGGAATTTAATTAATTTAATTAATTAAATTTATTTAAGGGAGGGGATTCCCCTTCCCTGGGGGATCCGGGGGTTCCCTCCCTGAGGTCACTGGGGTTTGGGGTCTGGGGGGTTTGGGGTCAGAGGGTTTGGGGTCTGTGGGGTTTGGGGTCTGTGGGGTTGGGGTCAGTGGGTTTTGGGGTAGGGGGGTTTTTAGGGTCACGGGGTTTGGGGTCAGTGGGTTTGGGGTCGGGGAGTTCGGGGTCAGTGGGGTTTTTGGGGTAATTGGGGTTTTCAGGGTCAGTGGGGTTTTTGGGGTTCCCCCGGGGTTTTTGGGGTCAGTGTGGTTTGGGGACGTGCCCTGCTGGGTCAGTGTGGTTCTTGGGGTCCCCCCGGGGGTCAGTGTGGTTTTTGGGGTTCCCCCGGGGCTCAGTGTGGTTATTGGGGTTCCCCCGGGGCTCAGTGGGGTTTGGGCTCCCCCCGGGGCTCAGTGTGGTTTTTGGGGTTCCCCCGGGGCTCAGTGTGGTTTTTGGGCTCCCCCCGGGGCTCAGTGTGGTTTGGGGGTTCCCCCGGGGCTCAGTGTGGTTTGGGGTTCCCCCGGGGGTCAGTGTGGTTTTTGGGGTTCCCCCGGGGGTCAGTGGGGTTTTTGGGTCCCCCCGGGGCTCAGTGTGGTTTGGGGGTCCCCCCGGGGCTCAGTGCGGTTTGGGGACGTGCCCGTCCACGTAGAAGTTGCGGGTGCGGCGGGGCAGGGCGATGCGCGCCCCCTCCAGCGCGGGGCTCAGCCGGAGCTGGCAGCCGAGCCGCGAGTTCTCCTGCAGCAGCGGCGCCTGGTCCAGCAGGTCCTCCTCCCTGCGGGGCACCGGCACCGGTAACGGGCAACCGGGGAACGGGGGGCACCGGGGGAACGGGGAACGGGGCTCTTACCGCTCGTCCGGCGCCGGGAGCCGCCCCAGGTGCGGCTCGCTGATGTAAACGTGGCAGGTGGAACAGGCCAGCGAGGCCTCGCAGGCGCCTGGGGGAGCGGGACGGCCCGGTGAGCACCGGGAAAACACCGGGACGGCACCGGGAACAACGAGATCCCCCCCGGTAGCACCGGGATCGCCGCGGGAACGCCCCCGGGAACGTCCCGTTAGCACAGGGATGGCACCGGGAATGTCCCGGGAACGCCCCGTTAGCACCGGGACAGCCCCGGGACCACCGGAACCGCCGCGGGTCCCCTCTGTCAGTACCGGGAGCCTCCCGGAGCCCCGAGCGCGCTTCCCCCAGCCCCGTTCCCAGCCCCGGTCCCGTTCCCGAACCCGTTCCCGTTCCCGATCTCGCTCCCGTTCCCGTTCCCGCTCCCCGTCCCGTTCCCGGTCCCGACCCTCCAGCTCCAGCCCGTGCCGCTGCGCCAGGTGCAGCACGTTGTCACCGACTCTGCCGCGCACCGGCACCTGCCGCCCCTCCCGGTCCACGAAGACGACGTTAACCCTGAGGAAAGGGGGGGGGACACACGACACCGGGCTCAGCACCGGGCCCCGGTTCCGTTCGGGCGCCGCCGCCCCGGGAGGGCGTTCCCGGTACCCACACGGCGGCCTCGGGCTCCTCGGCGGGGGCGCCGCCGCTGCTGAGGCTGCGGGAGACGCCCCGGAGCAGCCGCCGCGTCACGGAGCCGCCGCTCGCCATGGGCGCCGCCATGATGGGCGCCACGTGACCGCCCGCGTGACCGTCGAGGGGCGGGGCCAGGGGGCGGGGCCTGCGCTGGGTCCTAAAGCCCGGCCGCGGATCCGGGGAGAAATTTTGGGGAAATTTGTGAATTTTCAGGGGAACCTGGGGATTATGGAGGAAAACTGGAGAATTTGGGGAAATTCTGGGGCAGTTTCAGGGGAAATTTGGGGGAAAATGTGAAATTTCGGGAGGAAATTGGGGATTTTCGGGGGGGCAATTCAAGGATTTTGGGGGGAAATTGGGGAATTTTGAGGGGAAAATTGGGGAATTTTGGGTGAAAATCGGGGATTTTTGGGGGAAATTGGGGGGAAAATCGGGAATGTGGGAGAGAATTGGAAAATTTTCAGGGGAAAATCAGGAATTTTGGGGGAAATTGGGGAGTTTTGAGGGGAAAACCAGGAATTTTGGGGGGAAATTGGGGAAAACCAGGAATTTTGGGGGGAAATCAGGAAATTTTGGGGGGAAATCGGGGAATTTTGTGTGGAAATTCAAGGACTTTGTGTGGAAATTGGGGACTTTTTGGGGGAAATTGGGGAATTTTATGGGAAACTGGGGAGGAATTGGGAATTGGGGGGGGGAAATTGATGATTTTGGGGGAAAATCGGGAATTTTGGGTGGAAATTTGGGGAATTTGGGGGGAAATTGGGAAAACTAAGGAAAACTCAGGGAATTTTAGGGGGAAATTGAGGAGAAATTTGGGAATTCTGAGGGAAATTGGGGAATTTTGAGGTAACTTTGGGAATTTTGAGGGGAAATTGGGAAAATTCAGGGAATTTTAGGGGGAAATTGGGGAATTTTGGTGGGAAAATCAGGGAGGGGGCACAAAGGGATCCCCCCAAAACGCCAGAGCATCACAAATAACGAAATGACACCGAAATAACAAAAAGGGGGGAGGGGCAGAGCTATAAATAGAATTTTATTTTTGGGGGGAGGGGGTGGGGGGGACACAGCCCCCCCCAAATCCCCCCTTACAGCAAAACCAGACTTCAGTAAAAACAGGGAAAAGAACTCAAATCCTGGGAAATCCCCCCAAAAAACGAAGGAGAAAGGAGGAAGATTTGGTTGGTTAAAAATTAAAAATAAAAACAGATTAAAGTAAAAAGGCCGATTTTACCCCCAAAAAAAAGCGTAAAACGGCAGCGGCTCCAGTTGTTAAAAAAAGGGGGAAACACAAAAAAAAAAAATAAACAGCAAAAAAATCCACCCAGTGAAATGTTTAAAGAGAGGGATTGGACCCCAAAAAAGGGGGAAACACCAAAAAAATGGGGGAGACCCCAGCCCAAAACCAACCCCAAAACTGGAAAAATGGGGAAAAAATGGGAATTTTCCCTAAAAAATGGGGAAAAAATGGAAAAAAAAAAGGGAAAAAAGGGGAAAAAAATGGGAAAAAAAGGGGAAAAATGGGGGAAAAAAAGGGGGAGAAAAGGGGGGGAAAAAAGAGGTAAAAATGGGAATTTCTCCCCAAAAAAATGGGGAAAAAATGGGGAAAAAGTGGGGGAAAAAAGGGGGAAAAAGTGGGGAAAAAAGGGGGAAAAAAAGGGGGAAAAAAAGGGGAAAAAAGGGGAAAAAAAGGGAATTTCTGCCCCAGAAATGGTTCGGGGATCTCCGGAATTTTGGGGACCCCAGCCCAGAAGCAGCAGTTAAGGCAGGGAGCGTTTCTGGGGGGCTCCCGGGGCTGCTCTGGGGAGGGGGAGGCAGAAAAAAAAACCCCAAAAAACTTCAGGGATTCTCCCCAAATCCTCCAAGGGGCAATTAAAAATCTTAAAATCGCTTAAAAATAAAAATCGCAAAAAACAAACCCCAAAAAACCCAAAAAAAGGGGATTAAAACAAAAAAGAATGAGAAATAAAATCCTGATGAAAATAAAGCAAAAACCAAGGCGGGACTTGGGCAGGACTTGGAGATTTTTGGGATTTTTTGGTTTTTTTTTTTGGTTTTGTTTTTTAAAAGAATGTTATCTTTGGGGGGCTTTTGTTGAGGATATTTTTGAGTTTTTTGGGATTTTTTGGGGGGATATTTTGGGTTTTTTTTGAGGATTTTTTTGAGTTATTTTGGGGATTTTTGGAATCACTAAAATAACTCCAATCGCCAAAATAATTATTGGGGGATTTTTGGATTTTCTTTGTGGATTTTTTGGGGGATTTTTTTTCCGGATTTTCTGCGGGTTTTTTGGGATTTTTTTTTTTTTTCTGGATTTTTTTCTGATTTTTTGGGGATTTTTTGCAATATTTTAGGGATTTTTTCCGGATTTTTTTCCATTTTTGTGGGGGGTTTTATTTGGATTCTTTTGGGGATTTTTTCCGGATTTTTGGGGATTTTTTTCGGGATGTTTTCCGGATTTTTTGGGGATTTGTTTTTGGAATTTTTTCTGGATTTTTCCGTGATTCTTCAGCAATTTTGGGGGGATTTTTTGGAGTTTTTTTTTTTGAGGATTTTTTTTTTTTTGTTTTGACTTTTGCGATTTTTTGGGAGATTTTTTTTCCCCCCCCTTTT